CAAACCCTGTATCTATCTATCTATCTATCTATCTATCTATCTATCTATCTATCTATCTGCCTGTTTGTCTGTCTGTCTGTCTATCTATTTATATGTATGTATGTATGTATGTATATAGAACAGAAACCACATTTATTAGCATTAATTTCTCTTCTGGGGCTGAATCTGAACACCATTTAATGTACAATATTGTATTTGTGAGTGCAGACCACATCCTCAACTAAAGGGCATGAAGAGTAATTATGGAACTGTTTAAAAAAAAGTGGGGACACTCAGAATGCTGAGAAATTGGGCTGGAGTCTTAGGCAGCTTCTGCTCTTGGGTAGGAGTTGATGAATAGTAGGGAGTAGATGGGGACATTGTGGGTATCAAAACTATGTCACTGGTGGAGAAAGAGTGAGATGGGATTTTATAAGAAGTTAACTAGGTAAATAGTGGAATGAGACATAAGCCCATCGCAAGGCACAAGGCACAGATATTCACACTCTCAAATACACCTATAGGCAATATGGAGTCACCAATCCACTCACCTGCACCTTTGGGAGATGGGAGGAAACTGGAGAACCTGGAGCAAACCTAGGTTACAGACAGTAACCTGAACTCAGGACTGAACTGGGGAACTGTGAGGTAGCAATGCTACCCACTGCGCCACCATGCTACTCCCAATATTTGTGTATAAAGTCCTACTTAATTAGAATGAACTTAAAAAAGGAATACAAGGCCATAATAAGGTAGATGCTTTATTGTGATGCTGAACCTTAAAATTGTGATTATCTGAATTTACATCACTAGCAGGGAGACAGTGTCTGTAGGACATTCTCTCGCACCCACTCCTTTCCACAGAACTTGAACCTGTCACAGAGAAACACAGATATGAGGGTTCTGTGCTGCCTTTAAATGTCCTCAGAACTCACTTACCTAATTCTATAATCTGCTGGATTTTACAGGGTTTGAGTGCTGTAAAAATTTCCTTTGTTACTATTATTGTGCTGGGCTTTTATTGTGCTTGGGCCCCTCTGCTCATTTCTAACCATACATCATGCCCATCAGGTATCATCAGTTACTATTAGTTCATGCCAATGCTTTACTGTAAACCCCTGTCCTGTGTTGGCTAACCAGATAGAAAGATAGAAAACGACTCACGTTTTCCCGTCCCGTCCTCTCTGCACTGTTATTTGAGTGGCACCAAACTTGGGCAGCAAAGGGTTTATTACACTGTTGTTCCATATAAACTTTACATAAGTCAATTCATCAACTTCCTTTTCAACGTCGATGAGGAGCACATAGGTATTACCAGGTGACAAAGTGCCGCTGAAATAAATAAGTCAGAGCTGTCTTGATCTGTTATTTCTCAAAATGATCTCAAAGATTGAAAACTGGTTTATATGGTAGTGTTAGTTCTGTAACTGTTATAATTTGTTTTACATATACACAGTGGAACATGTTACAGGGTGTATGATGCATACTCATGAATCTGGTACTGGCGTGTATTTCCATTAACACCATATAAAGCCACTTTGATGTACCCTGGGTTGTTTCGAGAGCCATCAATAGTGACTGTCACCCTATAGCGATAACCTAAAAGGAAAAAGAATTTTATTGTCAACAGACATCTGTCAAGTAATGTTCATGAAATGCAATCCTACAGGAATTACTGGTTGCATCCATTATAGAGTGCCTTTATAGCAAAGTAAATGAAAATATTATTTGCATTTTGCAAATTAGTTTTAATTTTATTAGTTGCATTTTAAATGATGGTTTAAAAGTACTCTTGACACTAGTTCTCCTTGTCTACCTTCTAACAGTAAGAATAATGAAATTTACAAAATATACTGAGCAAGATGGAAGGTGGGAAATAGCAAATTGTGAACATGGATTTATTGGTTTTTGTGAAAACTGGTTAGCAGGCCCGATCTGTTTCATAAGCTCATATTTTTTAAAAACCTAGTTAGCTAGGTTTCATATTTCAAAATAAACAGGCAACATAAACCTAATGCAAAAATTGACCTGTCAGTGGGCTAAAAACCTCCCAAAAAACTACAGCTGGTAGTCTGGAAAAAATGGTTAGCTATGAGTCATGCATTTAGTTTCACATGTAAGCAGCTGTATAGTGAGAGTGGCATGTGCAAATACGTACGTGAGAAGGGCCGAGCATCTCCTGTGTTCAGGTAGAACTTCATCTTATCCACTCCAGTGGGTACTTTAAATTGGTTAGCATAGTGACCCATGAAGGGACATGAACCACTGGAAGTACATGGGAAGCCATGCCCCTAAAAGCACAAACCATTCATCTTCAAGAAGAAAGTACCCTTGAAAAAGCCTAGTGGCCAAGAAAATATCTATTAAAGCTGTCTGCCAGGTGAAACACAAACAAAAACTGACTAAGAACTGATTTCACTCCTCAGCAGGAAACTTTTCTCCATTCTACTGAAAAAAAATGGTTAAAAAAAAAATCCTCAAGGGTTTTTTTTCCCCCCACCCTCATCTTTCATGTGTCTTAGATTGCCTGTCAATAAATCAGAACTGCTTTATAGTGTGGGAACAAGCAACTTTGTAGCTGCACTTTATAACCAGCAGTCCCAAAGGAGATACAGTCACACGTGCCCTGTCCTGTCCTGTGTCTGCTGGACTGTTTTGCTTATCTCAACCTTGGATAAAGTGTTATTAGCAGGGACAGCTGAGGAAACAGAGTCCATCAGTTGACACTCTGTCTAAATCAACTTCTAAATAGATAGAAACAGTTCACAACCATATCAATGGCATGTGTGGTGACAGGGTCCGCACCTTTTCACTAACACTTTAACAAACTCAAAATTATAAAAGTCTGAGTAATATTTATAGGTGTTCTCTAGGTTAGCACTTTTCAGTGACATAAAACTGATGCAGAATAGTATCATATAGAAACATATACAATGGCTAAGCAACTTAAGGTCCTTGCTCAAAAGCTCAACATTGGCAGCCCTGGGATTTACAAACACAGTCATTATTACAAATAAGTCATTATTTTGTCAGTCTTATTTAAATCAGGAATGATTCATATGTCTAATTCTACTTAACAATGTCGCATTCTTACTTTTGTTGATCTTGCTCAAACTGCATACTTACAGACTCAAACATGGCCTGGTCAGAACAGGGGTATCCTAAAAAGCCTGTAGGGTTTAGGATGCTATCACTATAGTACTTGTAGGCTCTCAGATGATTGCAGGCAACAAAGTCACGGGTACCTAACAAAGGATCAGAAAAAACCTCACTAATAAGAATTACATAAATAATTACAATTAATTAATTATGAGATCAGGTTGATGCATACCTGCATAATGCATATTATTAGCCTGGAATATTATTAATATGGTGCCTCACCTTCCCAAATGCCATCAATGTCCACAATTTGTGAGATTATATTCTTATCACAACCAGGCATGTGTTCTCCTCCATTTGGGTAAAAGTCAAGGTGTCCAACAGCTTGAGACATTCCAAAGCCTAAAAGAAAATGGAATATTTAGCAATATGAGTGCAGACTGCATCATATGTCTATACTGTGTATTAACTTGGTCACTTGAAATACCCACATAAAGTACTGATCTTTAGGATTATAATGTTATGAAGTAGTAAGTCATTGGTATATCACATAATAATCAGTGCACAGTTTTAACAAAGACCCCTGATGCTTGACTGCTCAAAACTGCCATAAAAAAGATAGATAGGTACATACATACATGCAAACTGTTATGTAAAGAGAACAAAATTAAGGAAAGATGAACATAACTTAGCACCAGACTTGTCAACAAATCTGTTATAAGCAGTAAGTAAATTATATGAGATTGAGAATCCTGTCCAAAATCTTACCGAGGTAAGGGACCATGGGAAGTGCGTCTGAGTGAATGACATCAACAAACAGGGCATCGCTGGGGTCCAGTCTTACCAGAGTAGGACAGCCCTGGAAATAAGGTTCAGCTGGGTCCAAACCTTAACATAAAACAAAAGTATTTGAAGAGACTACTGGAAAGACACATTACTCAACGTTCTTGTCCCTTCACCATTATTCTTGGCTGTATTTACAAATTTTGCAGATATGATAAAAACTGTTCACAGTGAGCTAATTTTTTATAATTTCTCCTTAATATTTATGTTTGAGTGTTGCTCAATGGTCATATAATACCTGTAATTCTTCCTAGCCTCGGTGTCCTTCGACCAGCCTCTGCAGCCGTATGTGCACCCAGGCTGTGCCCAATAACATGCACACTTTCAGGTGTCTGCTGGAAACTTTCCTGCAGTCAAGTCAGTATATTTATAGGGGATATTTAAAAAAAAAAAACAGAGGTTGATCAAAGTGCTAAAGCTCAATATATAACAAAAGACAAGATGCTATAAATGCATAAATAAAAGAACACAGAACACAATACTCAGGAAAAATAAGGTAAAAAAGGTCAACAAATATGCCAAACATTTTATAAAAATATAAAATTGCAAATATAATAATAATAATAATAATAATAATAATAATAATAATGCATGTGAAATCATCATAGAGTTGTTTCTTTTTTTGTTTCTTGATTAACTAGCATTTGTGACGAACCATTCAAAAGAATTAGAGTACAGTAAAAAGATGTTTTTCAAAGACAATCTATTCAATCATTCATCTCTCACTGAACAATGAAATTTATGTATATGAAATTATGGTTTTTTTTGTTCATGCTGCTGACGTGTGATGATTCCTTTGACCTTTGATCGGCTGTGTTAAGTGGCTGTGAGTGCTGGTGTTCAGTTAGAAGCCAAGCTAAGGACAGCACTTGTAGGGTTTAGGGCATTATAAATTTATTGTACTGTATAATGAATCATGCTTGTTTCTGTATTGCAAAAAAAAAACAAAAAAAAAACAACTCTTCACATTTATGGCATTTGCCAGACACCCTTATCCAGAGTGACATACAATTATCTAATTTATGTAACTGAGTAGTTGAGAGTTAAAGGCCTTACTCAAGAGCACAGCAATGGCAGCCTGCCAGTGCTGGGATTTGAACTCTCAACCTTCCGATCAAAAGGCCAACATCTTAACCACTGAGCTACCACTGTCCCGCTTGGGTTCATAGACATATGTAAGGCACCTGTAAGTTATTTTGATCCAACTTACCTTAAAGATGGAAATCATATAAGCTATCTGAGCTCCGACCACTCGAATGTTATTTGCCGCCTGTGTGTACAGTGTCCTTGATCCAGATTTCCAGTCAACACAAATACAGTTTATATCCTCGATGCTCAGAATAAGCTAAGAGACAGATATTATACATAAAGATGATGAAAGCATAGACTTGAAATAAAAGAAACAAAGCAATGTTTTAAGTACCTATGAGCATATACTGAAATAAAAATAATAAATATCAAACTTTAATACACAAGATACTGCTTTGGTTTTACCTTACACATGTCAATAAGCCAATTCTCATCTCCTTTGTCGATAAATCCATGGATTATAAAAGTGGTCTTTCTGGTTGATTCATATTTAGACCCTGCAATGACATCTGCATTTGTACTGATTTCCTGAAAAAAAAAAAAAAAAAACAATTAACAAAATTTTTATATTATCTCAGAAGAGGTATACTTTTGCTACTCCTTAAATAATCCTATAGGAAGGCTACCTCACATTATGAAACTCTTTCATCATACACTGTTGGTATCATATAAGTATTGGGAGATACTTAATTAAAATTACATCACTTTAGTATTCAAACATAAAGGATATTTATCAGTGATGTGATGATGTATTGATGACTTCATATCCTAGACCACAGGTTCCCAACCTTGGTCCTGGAGTACCCCCTGTCCTGCACATATTAGTGTTTTCCCTGCATTATTAACACGCCCACTTCAACTCAGAACTGATGGTTACTGTGCTCTAGACATCCCGACACACTTGTGCTTATGCACAGAATATAATTGTGTACCATTTAACCCCAACTTAGACTTTGAACAGAATACAGAAGGGCACAATTCTTATTTGCATAGAAGTCTAGACTTACCTGGTATGAATCAGGGTTCTGTCGTGTGAAAAGAAGAAAGCGGGCATTGATCTTCTCAGGACTCCATGGTAGGCGTGCAATGGGTCTTTCTATAGTACCACTCCATGGACTCTCATCAGAAAAGCAGCCAATCTTGTCATAACATACCTCGGCACCTGCCAATCAATTCATACAAATGAAAACTAAAGACGCTGCTTCAGTATGCAGGAGATTAATACCAGTTTTAAAGGTTCATAAAGTTAATGTCTCTTTTGTAAAATATTTATAGACACATACTATTTTTCGTTTGGCAACAGCCTGGCAGTTCTTTACTGACAGTAAATTAAACTGGTTTGGTTCTTACCATATACAACCCCTACAAGGCAGTTTAAAAGTCCTCCAATCCACAAAAGCCACATCTGCAATCATAAAACAAAACAAACTTCAGCAGCATACAAATAAAACCATATCTGTTCAACATCTAAAATATACAAATACATACTTTAATGTTGACAGCAACCTGAGATGTATTCCTCAGCTCCCTATATATTTGTAAGTGTTATCAGATGTGAAAGTGGGAAAAATCCAGGTGAAGAATTGGCGCAAGCTGCCACACCTATGAACACCTGCTCTGAGCTTTCTGTTGTACCTGATCTTTATTAAGTACACAGAGAAGTATCTTCCTGCAAAGATAATGTTGGGTAATAAATTGTTGTAAGCCTAGCTAGTAAAACCTAGCTGGTTTATTGTGGTTTACTCAAGCAGTGAATTTTGAGCTTTGATCAAGGTGCTATAGTGAAATGTTACACAAGCCTGGTCAACTCAGATTGTAATCAAATTGTCTGCAATGCTCCCTGCACCGTCATAGCATCATCCAAACAGAATAGAGTGCTTACACCCTCTGTAAAGAAAACAGTGGACAAACTTTTTAAATGATTGAGTGCCCTAATGAAAACACAGGAAATGTAGCCAAAGAATTCATCAGTGGAAGACCGAACAGGAGAGTGAAGAGACAACGATGAGGCTCGGGTTTCAATGCTGTGACTAACTTTTACCTCAGGTTATGAGACTGCTGTGGATAATGCTATTGAATAAAATTATTACACATTTGTTATCATAAACTCATAATTCTTTGACAAAGTGTCAGTAATCTGTGTTTTTCCATGATCACATTTGGTTATAAATTTAGAGGTAGGCGGGCAATTGCTTGTTATAGTCTGTCAGCTGAAGGTAATTTTAAAACAGGTTAAGATCATTCCAACTGAGGTAAGATAGAGAATTATCAGGGATTCTTTAAATAGTTTATGGTGTGAATATAATGACTTTTAATAATCTACAAATATTGCTTAATAACATTGTTTAAATTATTGTTATTATTATTATTATTATTATTATTATTATTATTATTATTATTATTATGAAAGATAAAGTAAAAGCAACATTATATAAAACTGTGCCCACTAATCTTATCAGAAAGGGTGTTGCCTTTTCCTCTGCTGTTGGAACCATATGTTATGTTCCCACATCACCTAAGAAGTAATCACCTGCTGGGCTAATGATTTACATCAACCTAGTTCGTTTGTCCCTGAGCTGCTTAGAAACTGGCATGTCATGAGAGGCCCATGTGTGGCCACAAGCCAGTCCTCTGGATAGACTTTAGCTGGATCTTAAAACCAACAATATTCCTTAACTTACTGGCAATAACAAGGTTTGTCATACGTCCAATTTCCAGAGAGGATCTGATGCTGTGAAACTACAGATGATACAAAAGAAAGAACAATATATTTTTCGTCCTTTTCAGGTTCTCAATTTCTTATCCAAGGTTAGTTTTTCTTTTATTGACACAAAATTATATATATACAATGGATATACATCTCTATACAACCCTGTTAAAATGGCAGATTTTTGTGATGTAAAAAAATGAAACCAAGATAAATCATGTCTGAACCTTTTTCTGCCGTTATTGTGAAATTGCAAAAGTGGAAGACAATAAGAATCATTTTAGGGGAAAAAAATGAAAAATAATAAATGTACAATAACCTGGTTACATAAGTGTGCACACCCCTAAACTAATACCTAGTTGAAGCACCTTCAGATTTTATCGCAGCATTCAGTTTCTTTGGATAAGAGTTAATCAATTTGGCACATCTTGACTTAGCAATATTTTGCCATTCTTCCTTGCAAAAAACTCTGTCAAATTGTAAGGGTATCTCCTGTGCACAGCCCTCTTCAGGTCACCACAAAGATTTTTGATTGGATTTAGATCTGGACTCTGGCTGGGCCATTCCAAAATGTTGATCTTGTTTTGGTGAAGCCATTCCATTGTTGATTTGGAGATGTGCTTCGGATCATGTAATGAAAGGTGAAAGCTGAAAGGTGAAATTCAGTTCTTTTAATGTTGCTGTAGACCTCTTGGAAGCCATCCTGACCAGTTTTCTCCTGGTCTTCTCATCAATTTCAGAGGGACATCCTGTTCTTAGTGATGTCACTGTTGTGCCATATTTTCTCCATTTGTTGATTATTGTCTTTACAGTGTTCCATGGTATATCCAATGCCTTGGAAATGTTTTTTCAAGTCCTGATTTTTCAACAATGAGATCTCGTACCTACTTTGTAAACTCTTTGTGGCCTACGGCTTTTCCAGTTGGATGTTACCAAGAAGATGTCAGGAAAATCCTAGAGGAACAGCTGTACTTTATTTGGGGTTAATCTGTCACTTTAATTGATGGCAGGTGTATACAAATTAGTATTTAACATGAGTTTGAATGTGATTGGTTGTTTCTGAACACTGCCACATTCCCAATTATAAAAGGGTGTGCACACTTATGCAATATGGGTATTGGAAGTTTTTTTTTTCCCCCTAAAATAATTCTGGCTGTTTGACACTTGATTTTTATATGTTGCAATTTCTCAATAAAGGTGAAAAAGGTTCTGACATGGTTTAACTTAGTTTTATTTTTTACATCACAAAAACCTGCCATTTTAAGAGGGGTGTGTAAACTCACTGTATATATACACACTGATCAGCCATAACATTAAAACCACTGACAGGTGAAGTGAATAACATTGATTATCTCAGTACAGTGGCACCTGTCAAGGGGTGGGATATACTAGGCAGCAAGTGAACAGTCAGTTCTTGAAGTTGATGTGTTGGAAGCAGGAAGAATGCCCAAGCATTTGGATCTGAGCAACTTTGACAAGGGGGCAAACTGTGTTGGCTAGATGACTGAGTCAGAGCATCTCCAAAACGGCAGGTCTTGTGGAGTGTTCCTGGTATGCAGTGGTTAGTACCTACCAAAAGTGGTCCAAGGAAGGACAACCAGTGAACCAGCAACAGGGTCATGGGCATCCAAGGCTAACTGATGTGTGTGGGGTGCGAAGGCTAGCCCGTCTGGTAGGATCCCACAGAAGAGCTAATGTAGCACAAATTGCTGAAAAGGTTAATGCTGGGTATGATTGAAAGGTGTCAGAACACACAGTGCATCGCAGCTTGCTGTATATGGGGCTGCGTAGCTGCAGACTGGTCAGAGTGCCCATGCTGACCCCTGTCCACCACTGAAAGCGCCTACAATGGGCACATGAGCATCAGAATTGGGCCATGGAGCAATGGAAGAAGGTGGCCTGGTCTGATGAATCATGTTTTCTTTTACTTCATGTGGATGGCTGGGTGTGTGTGGGGCAAGCTGGCAGAGGCAGTGTGTTGCTCTGGGCAATGTTCTGCTGGCAAACCTTGGGTCCTGGCATTTATGTGGATAATTTGACACGTACCATCTACCTAAACATTGTTGCAGACCAAGTACATCCCTTCATGGCAATAATATTGCCCAATGGCAGTGGCCTCTTTCAGCAGGATAATGCGCCCTGCCACACTGAAAAAATTGTTCAGGAATGGTTTGAGGAACATGACAAAGAGTTCAAGGTGTTCACTTGGCCTCCAAATTCCCCAGATCTCAACCCAATCGAGCATCTGTGGGATGTGCTGGAGAAACAAGTCCGATCCATGGAGGCCCTACCTCATAACTTACAGGACGTAAAGGATCTGCTGCTAACGTCTTGGCGCCAGATACCACAGCACACCT